AAACAGTAAGTTTTTCGAGTTATTGCTTATAGTTATGAAGTACTATTTCAAAGAATTCACGTACTGCGAGTTGCTGAGAAACGAGTAAAAAATATGAAGTGATTATGGCTTTGTTTTTGCAATGCAAAAGAGGGACCATTTATCTGAAATTTTATCGTAAGTATCGTCATGAATTACAAACACTCACGAAATGATTTCGTTTAAAGCAACATTTGAAATGATGGGTCATGTTTGCACTTCAATTCTTCATAGTAGCTTCTATATTATATCGTTAACACTCCTATGCTGTCAGAACGACATAGGCTTATTACTTTCTACAAATAGTTGAGATGATATATCCATTCATATAACTCATCATTTTCGCATGATTTTATCTAGTGGTTCTAGTTTTATTGAAAGAATATTCTCTCAGTGTTGTCATCGTCCTTCGGACACGATACTGAACCATTTTTACTTTGTTTTTTATTTGGGAGGGAGCGGCGAGTCTGTAACGTAGATAATCGTTTGCTGTCAACGTGAAATATTGTTTTAATAACCGAATGTGGATTAATAAAGATGTAATCAGTGTTAAGCTTCACTGAGAATCCCGACAAATACTGGTACGCTATTTCATTTTTGTTGGGGGTCCCCAGCAGTGTATATTCATCGAATCTGCCACATTCTCACTTGGATGAGCTAACTAATCACGTGAGGAATTTCAGCTGACTCTCGACAGCCTAGTCCTAGCCAACACGTTCGCTATTATTTATGTCTATTGATCAAGGGTCGAATTCTGAACCTAGTATCACTGATAATGAGCGTGGAATTCGAACCAATTGACCATGGATTTCTTTAAACAAAGCGCTTGTAACATCTGATTTGTTTGACATGCTTCGTGTTTCCCTACTGTTGTGCCCGTTGATGAACACCAGCGCCTAGCGCCACTGTCTATAACAGCTCAAATTATCCAAATTGATGCACCAAGAGCAAAGAGAAAACCTATTTCTACGGATCTAAGGCACCATGGGATAGCCGGTCGACCAGCTGCATACTAAAAGAAATTAGTTGATGTATCCACCTACCTTTGATCCATATCTGTGTGCGATAATGATGAAATCGAACCTTCAACAGTGTCGGATACTTTTCTTGTTGTGGTCTGACTGAAACCAAAGAGTGTTTTGGGGGCAGCAAAAAAGCCGGAGCGTTTCTTGGGTGATTGGTGTTCATTTGCTGCAGGAGACATTGCAGATTCAGAAGTTGACGATCGAGTATCCTGTTTCAGTTCGGCGACAACTTTACGAGCGAAACCCCGAGACTTTTTGACCATATTTTTCTGTTTATCTAATAAATTATATACAGTAAAAAAGATAAACGGATCAATTTTGTGCTGATCAAATGTTGCAAATGAAATATCGGAGATGCTAATGGCGGTGGAAGTGGTGGTAAAATGTGTACAAGGAATCGAAACATTATACATCCCGAAATCTTGTCTGATAACCATCTTCTTGATTGGAGCTATATTCGCCGGAGATGGGGCGTGGGAAAGCAATATATCATAGCACCTGTGCTGCATGAAATTCATTAGTTGTGAAATTGTTTTCCGGTATTGAACGTTCGGTTTCCAAAGTTTATATAGTTGTTCTTCAACACAATGACACTTTGTACTTTTACGTTTATAGATTAGATAATTTGTTGTGCTCTGTCAGTTCCGTTCAGTTTACTCGACGGAGGCAAAGGATACGAACAAATAAACAAATAACAATAACAACAACAAAATATTTGCGGTTACAAATGAAATATTTTGGAGCGCATTTGTTGGCGATTTAGTTTATCCCTCAAGGACCGTTGGTTCTTTTGACAGGCACAATGTAACTTTTATACAACAAGCTGAAAGCTTTTGATACACATGGCTTTTAATGCACTAAAATATTTAAAGATGCATTTGACACAGAAACCCCTTTTTGATGCACGACAAAAAGATCTGAACAGTTGTTGCATCCACTTTTGGTACTCGTCAGCAGGACGTATGTTCAATGTGTCCCAAGAAGTGAAACCCGCACTCGAGATCAGCAAAAGTGACTGATGCCCGTGATTACCCGGTCGGGTTGATCCAAACCTGCTTTTATAAACTGAGTGAGTCGTTCATCACTCAAGGTGTTGACCGTCCATCGTGTGGCTTAGGGTTAAAGATTTCGATTCAAAACCCGAAAATTTGCGGTTAGAGTCCCGGCAGGAATAAGAAAAAGCATGTACTGCTAGCAATTCGTCACAAAGGATGAAGCAGCTGTTCACTACGCTTTATCGATCATTGCAGAGGTTTACGTAGCAAGTAGTTGAGTTTTCTTGGTGGGTAATTCAACATATGTCAAGGAGAGAAACCCACAACCAAGGCCATCAACCTTGCCTGGTGGTTGTCATCAGTCGATTG